GACCATTTTTGTCATTGTAGGGATCCTTTCCATAATGCTGTCAGACACTTAGAATAACAATCTGAGCCTGTCAGTGGCAAAAACAACAACTTTTAGTGGATGTATTTTGACTGGCGTATTTAATCATTCAATCTCTCTAACTCTCCTTATCCGTCCAGTGTGTAACATTTAGGAGAATCTATTGTCAAAAATTGAATATAATATTCATATATTATATTCATAGCTATGCTTTCATTAGCATAAAATCACCTGAATTGCCTTCCATGGAGTCTGTCATTTTTCTACAGTGGCCCAGAAGAGAAAAACCACGTGTTTCATGGCCACTGTAGTTTCTCTTACACACTTGGAAGGGGATGGTGAAGCGAGAAACTTGCGATCTGCCACTACACCGCTAGATGCCACTAAACCCAACATACACCTTTAATCAGCTGATTATGTGCATTTACTCTTTCAGTTAAACAATTATACTTTTCTACAATCTCTTCCAGCCAACCAGTGTGTATGATTTAGTGGCTAGTAGTGAATTTGCAGATTACAACTAACTGAATACCACTCAGCTTCCAAAGTGTGTAGGAGAAACTATGGTGGCTGCGAAACTCACAAAAAACACAAAAGACCCTATCTAGAGCCGGTGTTTGGTTTGCAAAGGTAGTAGAGCTTTGGTTCTCTGCCTGAACCCGATTGGACCTGACACGAATTGCTGGGTTTGGGCCAGGTTGGGGCCCAAAACAAGTGCCATAAGTCATAATATGCAGTTTACTGTCATAAAGGACTAAAGAAAGCAGAAAACAGAGAAGTGGAAATCAGAGAATTTTTTTCTGAAAAGTTCTTAAAAACTTTGAATGGTTGGTCTAGGTGACATGTTGGAATGAATCCTAGATAAGCACAAGACATCAGCACTGACTCTAGTCTGATGGGCATGAGGTCGGTGTTCCATTCTTTCTGCACAGAGCCCACAACAGGTTCACCGAGTCCAGCAGATCCTCTTTCAAACAGAGCCGGATCCGGACTAGGGAAAGTAGAGTGCTGCTGTTGTTTTGGTCGGGATCTGAGCAGTACTACTCAGCAGGCCGGCAGTGTACCAGCTGTGTGAGTAGAGTGTCCTCGCTCTGCGCACCCTAAAAATATCCCTCACTAAGTGCGCGGATCAAAGGGGGCAGCAACACCGCCATGAATCCCGCCCCGGTATTTAACCTAAAGCCTTTCAGAGGAGGAGCATGCACTGTGAGCAAAGGGCCCGCGGCATCCAGAGCTGCGCAGAGGAGAGAGAGGCTGGCTCGGGTTTCAGAGACGCACACTGACGGCAGACCTGCGGCACACAGTGGGATCGCTCAGAGGGAGCAGCAGCGAATGGGACAAACGGAGCAGAACGCAGAGGATTTAGAGTCCGTCCCTGTGAATCAGGAACATCACTGACTGACTGATGCCAATCTGCACAATGTCTCCTGTTCTAACTTTGATGTAGTTGCGCATCTGAGCTCAGAAACGTAGTTTGGAGAGCCTTTGAAGAAGAAAATAGACATCTGCAAAACTTTTCCCCCAGCAGAGAGACAGAGTCTGTCACACGCTCCACAGTTGCAGGTCGTTAGGATTCCTCTTCTGCTACCCTGCACCTGATGAAGACAGGGATTTCTGTGTGGATAAAACCAGAGTTAGATGAATAAAATGGGAGAGGTTCAGAAGTGGGGAGTCGCCAGTAAAGCGGGTGAGGAGAGGAGGACTGGCGGCGGGCAGCAGCAGCAGAAACGGAGAGATTGGAGAGATTTGTCCAGCGTAACGATTTGCATCGCGGTGTCTGTTCTGTGCATTGGAGTTTGCATTGTGGTTTTTGTGCGGACATCGGAGCTGCAGTCCAGGATAGTAAGTCTGGAGCAGCAGCAACTCTCCGCGTGGATGTTGTCTCTGGAGCAGGTGGAGCCCGTTATCCTGGGCCGACTGGACCAGATCCTGGAGGAGGTGAGCGCTTTACTGACAAAACTCAAACGTTTTAGAAGCAGGTTTTTAGAATATGGCATCTGATGGAAGATATTTTGTTTCATAGAGGTTCCTCCAGGCTGCAACTTCAGATGGGACTGCGCGTTAGTTCACTTTAAGATGATGGATAGAAGGAAAACAAGCCATACACTTAAATTTGTATTTTTACACTCATCTTGAGCTATAAGAATTTATATTACTATTTAGTAATATAGTTTTATGGGGAATGAGCTGTTCACATTATCTTCACTAAGTATTATTAAATACTAACTAACGATTATTGTGTACTAATTCATTTGAAAACTTTTTAAGTTACATTAAATCCTTTTTGGTCAGGCCTATAACTTAATTAGTTTATTTTTAGATACTTGTTCTTATAAATAGCTGCTAATCGGATCTCTAACGCATTAGTAAAATTGTAATTAACCATTAGTAACACTTAACCTGTCTGATTGAAAGGGTAAACACTAACCCAAAGGATGTTTTTTTTTATAACTTGGCAACCCAAAACCTTTTTTATTAATGGATTCTAACTGATCTATAAAGCCTTGGTACATTTCTAATTAACCAATAATAGGCAATTAGTAACTTGTTTAAAACACTTAATTAACCTGCCTGTTAATAAAAGGGAGACACCAAAGTTTTTCCTTACAATCTGGCAACCCAAAACTAGTAATAATATAAATAATAATAAAAATAAATAGTGGATTCTAACTGATCTATAAAGTAACAACTTGTAAACACTTTTAACTAACTAATTAAGCTGCCTTATAAGAAAGTGTTAGTAAAAGGGTAAACAACAATGAAAAACGTTTTTTTTATTTTTATTTTATTTATTTATTTTTTACAAATTGGCAACACAAAACTTTTTTATTTATGGTGTTAGTATTTTTGTAATTAACCATTAATAAGCCATTAGTTACATTTTATACACTCTAAGCTGCCTGATTGTAGTGTTGTAGTGTGATACACAAATCAAAGATATTTTTTTTACAACCCAAAACTTGATTTTACTAATGTATTATAACTGATATCTAACATGTTACTAGATTCTTTATGAAGTATTAATAAAGCCACCATGTACTACTTATAAAGACTTTATAAAGGCTGCCTTATCAGAGTGTCTTTAGTCAAACACAAATAAATTAAATTTAGTTCCTGCACATCTCTGAACAACCGAGCAAGCCGCACATGTGTTCTAACTATCATGTGCACCTCTTCACTGAGATAACGTGTGAGGAGCTCTCCCTGGCCTTTCACATCTGGTACTCCTACAGTTGCCCTCTGCTGCCCTTTCATTGACCACTTCCACAGCTACACTAACAAGCTCTTCCACAGTGATTGAAGTCCGGCAGAGGCCCTGTTTTCCCTTCCTCCGTTTGCTTTGGCCTAACTTTTATCACCCCCCCTCCCATGATCCCTTTCACTAGGGCTAGTATAATGCACTTACCAGGAGAAGAGAGCACAGGGTGCCTGCTGCTGGGGATGAGGGAAGTATTGCACTCTCCATTTGTTAGCCTGTTGGAAATGTTATTAGCTGAGATACTCTGTGTTTGGAAGACAATAGAGGGTGATAATTTCATTGGTTGACTGGTGATTTGTTGGAGACGTTTTAAATGAACAGTTTTGGGAAATACACACATTATTGTTAGATGAGAAGATGGATGAGCTGAAGTCAGAATGTGTTCAGGGATATAAACTGGATTCAATTGGTAATGAGGTCTCCTAAACCCTAACCTAATCCAAGTATCACAATATTAAAGTAACTTGACCTTCCTGTTTCTTTTGTATGACCTCAACACCTAATATGCAAATAAGCAGGCTTCATGACCTGTACTGCAGTCAGCCACCAGAGGGTGACTGAGATGTTTTGGCTTGTCAGGTCTTTATATATGTTGATGGCTTGCATTCAACGCACACACGCAAGTGTCCCATCCTGACAGCTCTGTTACTACCTCTGCTGCCGGCTCAAAGGTGGAACAACAATGACCCCCTCATTCCGTCTTCATACCTTTTATGCCAAGTGGCGAGTCAGAATAACGGCGCAACAATCCCACCATGAACTGGCTGTGTAAGAGGGGCTTATGCTGAGCTAGGCTAACCTGACCCCAGCTCTGCTCTTAGTCCAGTGTGCAGGATTTAGTGGCATCTTGCGGTCTAGTTGCAGACTGCAACTCACTCGTTTCGCCCTGCCTTTTTAAACATGAGGCAGAAACTATGGTGGCCTGTGAAATGTGTAAATGGCCCCAACTAATCAGTGTTTGCTTTAACCTATCTGGGCTAATGTAGAAAAATGGAGGCCTCCATGGAAGGTGACACACTCCCTTTGTAGATAAAAATGGCTCATTCTAAGGTAACAAAAACACAACAATGAGGTTGACGTACTAAAGGACAATCAAAGGTGCTGGTGACAGAGTCCTGTTTAAGCGTCTGGCTCTGGAGATCCTCCGTGGGGCCCAGTGATCCCTCCTTCTTCATTTCCAGACAGGCCTGGGGCGATGTAGCCTGCCTCTTTGTTTAGCTCTGCGCGTATAAATAGTTATTATTAATGGGACACAAGCACAGATGTGGCCTTTTGTAGAGAGAGGGAGACGTTTGTGGTACTTTTACCCAATGCTGTCCAGAATCCACCTCCATGATGACCAGTTTCCTCTGTTATGGAAAATGTCCCCGTTCCAGCAGGACAGAGTTATTAATATTCAAGTCAAATTTGGCTCACAGCAGAATTCATTCGTTTTTTGAGTAATTGGGTGGCTGCGGCTCAGGTCGTGCGGCTGTGGCTCAGAGGAAGACTGGGTCGTCCTCTAATCGGAAGGTTGTTGGTTCGATCCCTGGCTCCTCCCGCCATATGTTGAAGTATCCTTGCGCAAGATACTGAACCCCAAATTGCTCCCGATGCTGTGCATCGGTGTGTGAATGTGTATGAATGAGTTAGTTTGTACTTTAAATAAATATTACCTACTGCAGCTTTAATTAAAATTAAATCAATTAAAGAAGAGGACCCGCTCCCTCTGAGGATAAAAACAGCTCGTTCTAAGGTAGCAAAAATGCAATGATTCTTATTTTCAGGTGATTATACACTAATGGAAACATA